AGGGTGGAGGCCATCGCTACTAGGGTGGAGGCCATCGCTACTAGGTTGGAGGCCATCGCTGCTAGGGTGGAGGCCATCGCTACTAGGGTGGAGGCCATCGCTACTAGGGTGGAGGCCATCGCTACTAGGTTGGAGGCCATCGCTACTAGGGTGGAGGCCATCGCTACTAGGTTGGAGGCCATCGCTACTAGGGTGGAGGCCATCGCTCTTAGGTTAGAGGTCATCGCTTCTAGGGTGGAGGCGATCGCGACTAGGTTGGAGGCCGTCGCTTCCGGGGTGGAGGCCATCGCTTCTAGGTTGGAGGCCATCGCTCTTATTTATTGTCTTGTATTTCTTCAATGTGGGCAAAAGTGGAAGTATCTCTTCGCTAATGATCTTCCAAAAGTTGGTCTGCCTCTACATGGCTGTCCAAGCAAATTATCACCTCGCCACGTGCTCGCCAAATGCCTGACACCCAAATGCACTGCTTCTGGATTCACAAGATCTTGAACGTATTTAGGCCAGTAATCGCCAGTATAGGATTCCCGAAACACTGTCACTCGAGACACAGCAACAAGTAGACGGAACAAACTAACTGACATGAATTACTATAACGAGTAGTAACGACATGTAACGACTGGATTTGACTCCCACGCCGCTCCTTCCATCCTTGCTTTCATCAGACCGCGACGCTCCTTAGGCCGGCGGGCCAGCTGGGCGGGCTGGGCGGGCCAAGACGGCCAAACCTTTTCCATCCTTTTCCGATGTCGTTTCTGTTTTTCGTTTCTTTCACTTGGACCTTTTAAGAAAGCTTAAAGTGGAAAGGTGATGAAAGGTGATTTTGCATGTTCTTCGATCTTCACCTTATCGAAATAACCTGCACTCTGACAAGAAAACAGCAACAGCCAGCAAGGTGACCAAGTCTACTGCAAGCTGCCTGATCACCAATCAATGCTCCCCATACTTATGCGACTGAACCTCACTTATAAGTTAACAACCAATCATACTACCAATCATTTAGGAGACCAATCAACTGGCGAAAGCGTCAAATGGTCGATCCACCACACTTCCTCGGCTCAGCTTAGCTTCCTTTTTCGTTTCGCACGCCATGCTCTCGGTCCTCGTCTCGTGGGACATCTTCTCTCGTCACAGGTCACCACCAGTCACCACACGAGCACTTGCCGGCCGTGAATTCGTGCATTCTCACTTGATCCAAAATACGCAAGGTCCGGCCATACACACTTGAGGCAATCTTGAATGCATTGTGACAATCAACACAACAGCGGATAGTCTTGCGAATGGTGATGGAGGAGCCTGCTGGAAATTCTCCTAGAGCCCAAGCCAGTGCTTTCTTCTCAGTGTGGAATCGGAGCCTCTCTTCTCGCTCTTCATTGGAAATCTCCGGGTCATATTGCCAGAGTTGTGGGTTGTAGCCAGAGGTCTTCAAACAAGCTATCATGCGCTCGACATACGCAGTCACAGCCTCATCATTGTCAATGCCTGGCTCGAAATATAAAGGCTTTCCCGTGGAAGGATCATCGACGGTGCTTGTGGGGACGTGTGTAGCGACACCATCCTCTTTTTGCCACTTGTCAACTTTTGCTGCTCCGATCTCATTTCCAGCCAAAGCACAACATTGCCGTGTCAATGTGTAACATGCTGATTTCGTCTGATCCCCAAAGTGACGTCGTGCTTTCTTCAGAACATGCAGGGCACAGTTGTGGTCCAGTACGGCTCTGCAGCCAGAAAGAACCGAACAATAAGCTTCAATGGGCAAAGTCACCTCTGCGTTCACTTCGTTAAAATAATTAACCGCTTTCGGAAGAAGCCCGGCCTTGCTGTACACAGCAATAATAGCACAATGTGTGTGCTCGTTGGGCTCGACTCCATCGCGATGCATTTGAGTGACAAGTGTTTCTGCACCAGTGACGTCTCCAGCTCGAGCACACTGCGAAATACCCGCAGTGTAAAGAAACACATCAGGCTTCACTTTGTAAACATCCTGGACGCTTTCTATTAAGAGAACTACAGCGCCGGTGTCATTCGCAAAGCCGAGAGCAGCAACAATCTGGACAAGGAACTGGCAGTCAAGTGTCAAACTGTCTGATTCTTGTAATCTCTTTGCCCGCTTCAGCAGCTCCCATGTCTTTCCAGTTGGGGCACCCGCACGCCTGTAACAACCAACCATGCTGGTCAAGAGCTCGAGGCATGGCTTTGTACCTTGCCAATCTAGTTCCCCAAGCAACTCCTCCACCACTTGCGAATCTGCACAGCCCTGCAGCATTGTGCTCATGAGCTGTTGATCTGCAGCCACCCCACGCCATTGCATATCATTCCAGAGCGCAAACAGCGTTGTTTGTGGGCCTCCACCCCTTACCACTGCATCAAACAGTGCTGTGTAAGTGTATCTGTTGGGCTGGACATGCTCTAGCATCTGTTTAAACAGCTCAAGCGCCTTTGGCCATCGCCCAACATGTCCGGCAGCTTTAAAGGTCCTATTGTAGGCAGATAACGGTGGTGTGCAACCTTGAGGAAATCGCAATAATGCAGAGCATGCAACCTCAAAAGACTCCAATGTGTCTTTTTTTGCAGGCAAGATCAATGACCTGTACCAGGCTTGCGCCGCTGGTTGCGACTTCACTCTTTCGGGCAAAAGCCCGTACCACGGACTCCCAACCAGACTTCAGAGCTTGTGCCACTGGGCAGGCGCGCATGTTTGATTTCTGCCGCCTCACAGCCCCTACAATGAATGCAGACAAATTACTCACCTTGCAGAGTTGTGCTGTAAAGAAACTATCAACCATTTCCAATGCTGTGTCCTGTGGTAGACCAGCCAAGGCTCCAACTGCGCTCGAGTCCAAATCATCTATGGTCCATCCAGATCCTGCCAGTTTCGCATTCAAAGCTTCGGACAACTTCAGTGGCAACTTGGCCCCAAAGGTGTCGCTTACACCTTTGATCACAGTTGAGCAGTAGTTGTTGATATCTCGCACACTGTTCTTGTCTTTGATCACCTTTTGCAAACGTTGCAAGCACACTGTCTTAGCCCCCCTCACAAAGTCCAGCAAAATCCAATAGAACTTTGGAGTCAAGCCCCCATTCAACTGGAATAGCCGGAACGTCCGGCACTGTTGCTGTACCACTGAGGCGATCGCATGTGTCAGTGTGCCTTGCACGTTTCCTCGGAGGTTCCCCAAGAGCGTCGCAACACGCTGCCCAAAGTTCGAAGAAGAAGTCATTGCTCGGAGAAATGACACCGCCAGGACCGTCCACCAATTGTCCAGGCCGTGCCCAACGAAAGGTACAAAGATCGTTTGAGGTTTGCTCCAAAGATCTGAAAACCAACGATGCGGATGCCTGTGCTTGTGTGGCAACGAACAGATTGATGCTCACTCTTGGGGAACATGTCGAATGTTGTTCTGGAACTCCATGTGGAGTCCCCTCTGCAATATGCACAGCATCCCCTTCATTCAGGACCAAAGCGGTATCACCCATGAGTATCGGTCTGCTTCCACCAACGACCAAAGTTAATTGCCCAAACTTGTGGCTGTGCATCTGACAGCTTGCAGTCCCATCATCATAGCGGCTCAACACACAGTTGAGTGGGATTAGGGCTTCATTGATGGCCTTGCTGCCGCGAAGCAACAACTTTCTCAATAATTTCTCTAGGACTTTGTCTCCGACGTCAAAAGAGAGAAACCTCTTCGACGATGTGCTCCAAGGCTTCTCCAAAAGGTGCTCCAAGACTCCATCTGGTACCTTAACCCTGAACGCTTCCGCCATCCGACACGGTTTCTCGGTTCCACGACCCATCCGACCGAACGAGGGTCCAACATGGGATTGCCATTCTGTCGCTTTGAGAGAGTACTTGTCATTCGCATAATTATCTGTATATGCACAGAAAGAACAAACACACACACTCACATATATATTGTACTTCTGGGTTTGGTCTTCCCTCCGTTTTAGCTGTTGTGAATTGTCTCTGCTGATCTGAACTTAGATTGCAAGATCTGCCTGCGATCGCAAAAACAGCATTGCATCTGAACATGTTGCATTCGTCTGAGTGTCCTTTCCGGGACTCTGCAAGTAGGTCTTTGCGGTCTGGATGCAACAAGTTGTTCAATCAAGCTCCTTCAATTATTTTTAGCTACCTGCAGGGTAGTGTCTAGACATCTTTCAAAGCCAAAGCCATGTAAAGATCAATAAGATCTGGGCCCGGAGCCGCAGCAGTGAGACCTTTCAAGGAGCGGGTGGTGGGGAAGGGCGGGAAGTGGAGACAGCATAGACAACGTGTTCATTGTGACGACTCGTAGTTGGCGTCTTTGTGAGTGGCGCATCAGCACACATCACATCGCAAGTGTCGCGGTCTTGGTTTACTAGTAGGCGTCCTTGCTCCTAGTAGTAAGGCCAGGAGCCCCTGGTAGCATCATTGCTCCTAGTAGCGATGCCCTTTGCTCCGTCAGAGTTTCGAGACTCCAAACCTAAGGCCTCCAAAACGAATGATGTTTGGGATGTTTCTGTCTTCGGAAGTTCTGCCAAAGAGCTCATTTTTCATTGTCCCTTTTATTTAGAGCTTCTTTCTTTCTTTCCTTTTTCTATCGTTTCCTTGTTCTTTCATATTCTTCGCGGCCTTCGGAAGTTCCAGCAAGTATTCCTCCAATTCGCCTTGGAGTCGCTGCCACTGCCTCGCCAAATCGTCGCATCCTCTGGGCGTCTCTCACAACGCCCAAACATGCTCCACCTGTTCATGAACCTCATCTGATGCAATATGATGCACTATGATTCAAAAGGGCATTTGATGGCATCTTTTGTGCGGAGTGGCAACTAAGTAACTCTAGTGCCATCTGAGTGGGTATCGGTAGGTTAATTTCCATTGGAGGCCATTGCTATTAGGTTGGAGGCCATAGCTGATAGACGCAAAGAAAAAAGAAAAGGAGAAAGGTCTTATATAGTTTGCTATTCTCCAGCTCAAGGCGCCAAATCACGCCTTTCAGCGAACTTCTCTGGCTCAGGTCGACTGTCATCATCTACCAAGAGCACCTCTCAAGCTCGAGAGTCGGTGTGGGTTCGTTACACCAAGCATCCAAGAGTGACATGAGGACTGAGGACCTTTACCAAGCTCGCAGCTATATCAGCAGAACCCTTTTCCCTCGTTCAAAGGAGCTGAACAGTTGGAAACATGAGCGGCATCTATCTATTGATCGAACTCGCTTCCCCCAAACCATCCATTTGTATTCTCGCTACAATGAATAGCATGAAAACGACAAGAGGACTTAAATAGAATGGTGAAGGTTGATGAATCCGTCGAACTGTCGCAGTGTCATCTTCCAACCATGTCTCTTCGCTCTTTTTTATCTGTGCGGATCGAAGGTTCGCAATCTCTCCGACCATTTCTCGGAGTTGGGGCGCCTCAGTTCGAGAAAATTGTGTTGGCCTCCAACCTAATACGCATTTTAGACAAGAGACACATTTGAACTTGAATGAAGAGCGAGGTTGTAATGTATCCAAAAGCAGCAGCTTTCTTGCTTGGGAGGGCTATTGCGATCAAAGTTTGTGTCCAAATTGAAGGCGACCTGTAGAAACTCCAAGACTGTGTGCCACCTAGGAGCTGCTGGTGGGGCACGTCCTGCATGATGCAGCATTTTTTGGGGGTATGTAAACCTTTTGTTTGTTCAACTTTCTGTGACGATTTGTAAAGCACTTGCTTTTTAAACGATATGATAAGACGGGGCCATTCCACTGGTCACATGAAGCGAAGAAGTCAGGCCTGCCAAGTGTCGAAGTACGTCATCAGGGTGCCCAAATAAGTTCGGAAAAAGCACACAACAAAGCTTCAAAGAATATTTAGACTGCAGTCCTGCGCTTGCTCCACACATTCCAAGATGGCGGCAATGGATGCAGCACCAACCTCTCTGTCAAATCACCAAGGCCAATACCCCTTATAAGGAACACACACAAAAGAAAAGAACACACACACAAACAAAGCTTTTTTGTTTAAAACCATTTCAAACCTCAGCTGTCCACGGCAGGTCCAACGGGTTGACACTCGTCGGACGGAAGTTGGTCGCACCTCTGAAGTGCAAGTTTGAGCCTCTCGTATTGAACGAGAGAAGGTCCTGGCAAGGATGCTACTAGGGGCTCCTGCCATCGCTACTAGGAGCAAGGACGCTACTAGGAACAAGTTCATCGCTACTAGTAACAAGTGCCTTACTTGTAGTAACAAGGGCGCTAGTAGGAGCAAAGGGCATCGCTACTAGGGGCTCCTGGCCGCACTACTAGGAACAAGAAGCTACTAAAGACGACCAGTCCGACCAGGTCTGGACCGACGTCCCTGTTCCTTTGGTCCAACCAGTTTTTTTTGCGTCATCCCAATCGTTGGGGACATCCAAATACTGGCGTTTTCTCCTTGGCTGATCATCACGCTCCACTGGAAGCCTTTTGGCACCGGAAGCACTTGAGCTGCTTGGGCCTGCAATGCAAACAAGGACTTGGCAATGGAAAGCCCAAGAGATGGAATAGAAACCATTAGGCAAACATGTAGTTAAACGTTGGCTGTTCTAGGCACGGAGCTTATGATTTAAGGCATTTATAGACTATGTAATTATAAAGCCCATAAAACCCATTAAAAAATATATATATATATGCTGCGGCCTTTATTACAATCGTAATTGTATGCTATGTGCCCATCGCTTCGCACCTGCATCACCACTCGCGAGTGGCATCCGAAGCGCATCGGACTCTTGGCCTCGGCGGCTATTTGGCCTCGGATTCGAAGGAGCGAAGGAGCCGAAGACGGCTCCTACTAGCGTCCTTGTTACTACTAGTAAGGCACCTGTTACTACTAGCGATGCACTTGTTACTACTAGCGATGCACCTGTTACTACTAGCGTCCTTGTTACTAGAAAGGGAAGGAAGGGGCAGTCCGGAAGGGGCTTTAGAGAGAACTTTGAGAGAACCAATGGACGGCGCTCAAAGGGTTCACTCCCTTCTTCAGGACTTTCTACACACCCTCAGGCAGAAACCAGGGTGAGAATTTGCATCAAGTTCAGTTTTCCCAAATGAATAGTGCGAGCGCTTCTTCAAGGAAGCTCTCCCCCCCGAGGGTGGAGGAGCTTCCTTGAAGAATCGTGAGCTATCCTGCGTCCAGTGTGCTAGTAAGCTATCCTGCATAGCACAGCTAATTAATAAAGAGCGAGCAAAAAAGGAAATTTGACTCAGACAGTTTGCACCACATGGAATTTTCAGTGAAATAAACCTTTGATCCGCTATGCAGGACTTTGGAATGCCGTAGAGCCATTGCCAAATTGATCCACTCGTCTATATGACCACGATGACCACACTGTCGAATGGACGTCACAACGTGTCGTGAGACAAGCAACATAAACGCATGGAGTTGGGATTTTGCTGCACTTTGATTCACTCTTCTTAGCTTGAAGCTGGTTTGTCTGTGTGAGAGGGGATAAATTACGATATTGGCTCCAGGAAGTTGGGATGGCCCGTCGCAAAAACCCTCAAAAAGGCCGGTGGTCAAGCGCTGCTTGCACTTTTGCCGTGCCATTTGCAAAGTTTGTTCCTGGCATTGTCGCATTGACTCGCTTGCGTGGCAAATGAACTGGAATGTGTAGAGGTACCTTTCACATCATTTCACCAAGTCCCCCAACGTACTATTTGTAGCTAGTAAAACGCTAGGTCTTAGGCGTTCCTTTGTACTGGACTGGACTCCATAAGTAATTAGTAACTTAACCTGTCAAGATCATATCCATGTCATGCTGTGCGTCATGCGGTTGGGGATCCGGACCCAAAGCTGGTGGAAGGGAAGCCATGTGCTCCCAAACCCAAAGGTGTTGCGGTACTCCCACCACTGCGGGGCGGCAGCGCACCTCGCAAAACAAATCCGCCAAACACGCGTTCTCTTTGAGAGGGTTAAAGTTTCTTCGTGGTTGCGTTTGACAAACCTTAGAGTACCGCGCTTGTTGGTAGCAAGGGTTAATGACATCCACATCATCCACTTCTTAGGAGCATGAAGCAGCAATTGCAAGCATTGCCCAATTGATTTTGCATGATTGTGTAGGGGGAATAGAAGGTAAAGCTGCTAAGCAGTGGCTGTGCATCTCCAATCGTTGTGACTTCCACCCTTCCACCTACGTCTAAATCTGTCACCCATGTGATGCGAGCTGAGAACGCTGAGCCCCAGGTGCGCAACCCACTGATTATAATGATTTGATTGAATATTCGCACAATTCATTTGGTTCCCTGATTTTTTAGGGAAGCTTGACTAATAGCAATGGCCTCCAACCTACTAGGCAATATATTGATTGTGATTGGAGCAAAGTTGACAACTTCCACTTCCCTTTCAGCTGAAAGCTCCAGCCTCTGCTTTCTGGAAGCTGTCCGATGCATGGAGAAATCTCCAAGGGGCTGTCTACATCGATCCTGACAGCCAGGTGTCACCGATGAACTCCACAAGCGAGCTAAGAGAGAACTCCACAAGGCCTCTGCAAGGTTCTTGGCGCAGATCCTGGATACCGCAGGATTTCACGTTCAGGATTTCTGTGGCCTGGGGCCTCTTGCATAGGACACATGCAAAGCGAAGCTCAGTTTGGAACATCAAACTCATGGAAGCTCGGATTTTACAATTACAAGCAATGCCGTTGGTTTCATGGAAAGACTGCTAAGCTTCCAGTTGGGTATTGTTTCTGCTTCCCCATAATTGACAGCTCTCCTGCAGCCTCCACAGACATCTCCTTAGGTGACAGTCGCCAAGCAACGAGTGAAATTCTCACGAGCATCATGACTGTCAAAAGGGGGCCAAGCTATGCTTCTTTTTACTAGTTGCGTTCTTGTTACTACTAGTAAGGCACTTGTTACTAGAAGCGATGCACTTGTTCCTAGTAGCGTCCTTGCTCCTTACTTCGCTTGGCACCCTCACAACTCTCAACTGGTTCTCTTGTTCTTGTTCAATTGGGTAGTTCTTGTTCTTAGAGTCTTAGAGCTCTGTATGGAGGACTCAATCATGTATTGCAGTCTGTGTGACTACAGTGACTACACCTTGTCGAGCCGAGCCCACATCTTGATACATGATATGTGCCAAGGCTCCCCAGTCCAGTCGGATGGGCTGTCCAAGTCATCGTCAATGGGCGGATCATACCTATAGTATCGAAAGTCTGTCAGTCAATTGTGAACACGGGTTTCAAGGTGCCACGAGAAAGGTAAAGGGTCAAGAAGGGTCACTGGTCACTAAGAGCCCACTACTACTCACACATCTTCACATCTTCAAAAGCACGCACACAATCTGAAGAAAACTACACAAAGAACCAGGCCCATTTCTAGAACAACGCTATGCCTAGCTCTTGTCCCATGATTGCAGCCACAGCTCATCAAGGCCAAAGCACCAGGCGGGAAATCCCCTGTCTCCTGATCCGATTGTCTTCCTCCGTCTCTTTGGACCTTTCAACCTGCCTTTTGGACTTCGGTATATCGACGGACTTTGCTCCGAAGTACTGACATGGTTGAACTGGGAGGGCTTTGAAGTGGATGAGGCTTTGCAAACCAGTCCTCTCCATAATTTAATGGAGCAGACTCGTACATGAAAGGGTTCAAATACATCTGAGCGCCCAAAGCGTTGAAGCCACTGAAGTCCTGGGCGTCCACACATCAAACACGTGTCACCGGACGCGCCAGCGCGAAAATGGCAACTTTCCAAGGACATCAAACACAACTTTCCCATAGTTGGCCAGGGAGCTTCTTCGCTTAGCTTTGGACAGCAGTGACTTGAAACTGCGCATCTGTGCAGCATTGTGCAACAAATGGATGCAATCAGCGGCCAATGGAGCCTGCAGCAATTGCCGCAATGACTTTCTACGACACAATTTGGTCGGCTTTCTTTGGTCGAAGTTCCTGCCTCAATATGGAAGCAAAGTGAGTTGCCACGCTCCGGGATTGAATTCTCTGCAACTTCGGCCAAACGGCGGCAAGTGCAGATGTCTGGTGAAGCCTTTCCCTGTGTGCTGAGGCGACTCAACCACCAGCACCATGCGAAACCTCCAATGCCTTTCGGCGTGATATTGACTCTACTTACTTCCAGTTGCTACACCTAGCAGGGCCTAGAGTCCTGGAGAAATCAACTTCACCCCCGAACAAAAGCGCATTCTTTACTTTGCATTTGACCCACCTCCTCGAGGAGTTGTGCTGGTGAGAGATTCAGCACAGAGTGTACTGAGCGAAGCCTAGCACTTGGAGGCTGAAAAAGCGAACAAGCTTCTAGCATTGTTGTTAATAGTAGCGATGCACTTGTTTCTAATAGCAAACATTGTTACTACTAGTAAGGCACCTGTTACTAGTAGAGATGCACTTGTTTCTACTTGACATGAAGACTGCGAACAAGAATATCACCTAAACATGATCTGACCTCTATCACCTATCCATATCTATCCATATTGGATGCTCTACATTGGTCCTGTCTGGTCCATTGCTCAAATGTGGTATTCAGGCAAATCGTTCCATTCTCATAAATGATCCATGCAAAAATGTATGCAAACCGGCGCAGGATATGCTGGGCAGGTATTCTCAAACAAGTTGCTGCATTGAAAAAGGGGCTCTTGTGGCTGAGTGACAATGTCGGCATGTGCTCATTGTGGAAGACCATGATGACACTCGCCTTAAGCAGGGCTTGCTTGGCTTGTTCAATCGTATCAAACTTCCAACAAGGGCGCCAACCCGTAGCGTCGTAGCGTCCTTGTTCCTAGTAGCGATGCCCTTTGCTCCTAGTAGCGAACAGGAGCCCCGTTCGTAGCGTCCCCTTGCCAACCCGACTCCGTGCCGGCGACCAAGCAGCTCGTGGCATGTTGCACGGGTAGGTCTCATCACGTGCCTTGCAAAAGTCTGAGCGCACATCCTCCTGACGGTGACCACACTCGAAAACTGCTCCCTTTGGCACCCTTTCATGAAGTTACGGCAACAATGGGCCGCCCAATGGGCCTCGAAAGCTACGGTATCTGGCCACAAAATTGACGCTCTTTGACAACGCTTCAGCATGCTTCGGCTTCATCAAGCTTTCTCACACCTTTCGCAACACTCCTCAAAAGGTAAAATAAATGCTTGTCCGACACTGAACAAAAGCCTTTGGTCATTAGCTTGGGATTCGGACAATTACAGTACGTGGTGTTTCTTTTACAGTGTTAGACCAGACCTTATCAAGCGCAACTGACGGCCTTCAACACATTGGAACAAACAAGTGCTTCCAAAAATCCCGGACTGGCAAAACATTGAAAAACACTTTATTATTTTTGTTACTAGTAGTAAGGCACTTGTTTCTAGTAGCTTCTTGTTACTACTAGTAAGGCACTTGTTACTAGTAGCGATGCACTTGTTCCTAGTAGCTTCCTAGTAATAAACTTTGTTCAACGATTGACCAATAAAGGTGAGTATTATCAATATGATCACGCGCGACTAACCTGCGATCAAAGCTTTGGTGTGCTTTTGACGCAAAAAATCAATTCACTGCCACGGTGTGCTCTTCTATGAACGCTCGCAGGAAACACATATTGACAATTCTTTCATAGAACAATATGTTCGTTGTTAGTTACTGTTCTTAAACTGCCAATCTTCACACTAGCCCGAGTCGAGGTACAGCTCCTGCACGCGGTCCACGTCCACGGCCTCACTGCCACGGCTGTTGAAGCTGAAGCCACGGTGGCTCTCCAGCTGTTCCTGCTGAACTCCACAGAGCTTCAAGCTCTTTGTGTGATTGGATCCAGCAAAAAGTAAAACAGAACGGATTTTGCACACAAAAACACCAGCTCCAACCGCATCCCATCTTGTCACTTGAAAGTCAAGGCATTTGGAGCGAAGACTGCAAGGTTTGAGTGGAACATTCCGTGGCCTTTTTCGAGAGCCCTCTTGCAGGCAAGGGCACCACTCCCAGCTTGCAGCATCTTCCGTCACGGAAGAGCCCAAGCCTTAGGTTTAGATCTTCTCGTCTCCGAAAGAGTTTCTCACCCAATTCGTCAACTGCAAGAGCTGTTTGCATATTGCATGTTGACCCGCAACTGTCCTGAATGGACGCAGTACACCAAGTTGCTTCCCATGCTGATGGTTGGTGCTGGCATTCTCTAAAATCTGCAGCCAATCACTCAAAAATACATCTGGCAAATCTATCGTTACAAAGGATCTTTGTTGAATTCTTCTTCGGAGAACATGTCTGCCCAGCCTTTGGTGCTTTGGACCTGAGTAGGGACTCTGCTTGCGGAAGTGGAGGAGCATTCTTCTGCAGTTTCGGCGCCGGAGAGACCTGCCGAGTTGGACAAGTGCCGAGTCTTGCACGTCCTAGTAGCTCCTGGCAGGAACAAGCTACTAGGTTAGCGTCTTTCGTAACGTCTTTCCTAGGTGTCTACTCGTACTTCTCGCCTTGGCAGCATGGTTGCACAAGCGGAGCTGTTGCAATTGCTGTGCCTGCTCCAAGGCCCAGCTCCGTGGGGCCACCTGCGAATTCGAGTACCGGACCGGAAAACGGCAAACCGAGAGTAGTAGCGTCCGATCGCTCCGTTCGTAGCGATGCCCTTTGTTCCGTTCGTAGCGTCCTTGTTGGCAAGGGACTCATTTGCGACACCAAATCTGACTCATTTGCGACACCACCACCCCCCTGTATTCCTCTCATGTACGACACCAAATCTCTCTCATTCGCGACACAGACACATACACACATATGATTGCAAGCGTTAGGTTGGGTGGGACATTAGGTTGGGGTGGGGTGGGGCATTAGGTTGGGTGGGGGGGTGGGGTGGGGTGGGGCATTAGGTTGGGGTGGGGGGGTTTAGGGGTGGGGTGGGACATTAGGTTGTTGGGCTTCAGAGTTTAGAGTGGCATTTGGTGGAATTGGTGTGGAGCTGGATTGGAGCTTTATGACTTTATGAGAACCAAGCTTGGGCCCTGGGCCCAGAAGCACACAGATTCTCTAAAAGAAAAGCTCTCCGCGTCACAACTGAGAAAAGCTCTCCGCGTCACATTCGAGACAAAAAAACGCGTCACAACCGAGACCCTTTCCGTCCTTGTTCCTAGTAGTAAAGCCAGGAGCCCCTAGTAGCGTCCTTGTTCCTAGTTTCTACCTGGCATAAACAGCCCTACGCACAATCAAATGTTCGAAGCTACAACGCCTCCTCTAGCTCCTCGCAACCCTTGAGAAGCACTAAAGCCACGAGGTACGGCCACGGAGACCCAAGATGCCCCATGGCTCCGGAGGCAGCCCTAGGCCTTCTTGCGACAAGTAATGGCCTCCAATCTAGTAGCTTCTTGTTACTAGTAGAATCTAGTAGATGGGAGCTCTTTTGTAGTCAACAAAAAGCTACAATGAGTTTGTCGAGTCATTGTTATTTTTCCTTTTGAGTATTAGATGTGGTTGCAAATCAAACAAACAAATGCAGCTGCACTGCAAGCCGATAGGACAGCTGCACTTCTGAACCGTTATCGATTTGTCCAGAGCATGTTTTTGCCGCAAAAAGCTCGTGTTTCTTTGTACAGCTCAGGACTTGAACATCAACCCTTCCTTTTGCTCCGCCGCTTCTTCAAACTTGGCGGGGCGGTAGTTCCCTGGCGGTGGCTGAAGCCTAAGTCTTCAACTTCCAGGACTGCTATGAGACTCCTAATGAGACTCCTATGAGACTCATGTGCATCGTTTTGCACAAAAAAGGATCTTGAAAATGTCGGAACAGTCTCATAGCATCATACGAGTCAGTAAGAGACAAGAATCTTACAAGATCTTCCAAGTGTTTGGCAAAAAACAATATGACTGCATAAAAGTGGCCAGTGCAATCCGAATCGATCTTCCAACTCCTTTGATGCGATGTGCGCCCTGCTCTTCACCAGCTCGGTGATCTTGTAAAGGCGGTAAACCACCTTGGCATGTCGAGATGTATCTGTATCCACAGATTCCCACAGCCACAGTCATGACAAACAACAGACTAATGCCGTACAAGTGAGTAAAACCTCCACTCAAGGCCTTTAGAGGCAAGTCTTCGATGACCAAACAAGACACGTCATTTCCAGCTCGTAGCTCTGCGTCCGCAGGCCACTCGTTGCCCATAGAGAAGCTCCTACAAGTGCCGAAGCAATCTTGGCACTCTGATTCTTCCTTTCAACCTAAGAGCAATGGCCTCCACCCTAGAAGCGATGTCCTCCACCCTAGTAGTGATGGCCTCCAACTTACTAGCGATGGCCTCCAAGCGATGGTCTCTAACCTAGTAGCGATGGCCTCCACCCTAGTAGCGATGGCCTCTAACGTAGTAGCGATGGCCTCCAACCTGGTATGGCGATGGCCTCCACCCTAGTAGCGATGGCCTCCAACCCAGTGGCGATGGCCTCCACCCTGATTCTTCTTCTCACATTCGTACATCCGTTTCACTTTGACTCAAAGCTTGACTCTTTGCACCAAATGCTTGGTCCTGCTGACAATGCGCGCCCCCAGTGGAAGAGTCTGCATGAGCCGGGATCGCAGGCTAAGGTTTGCCCATTCACCAAGGAAAAGATACACCTCATCAACGTGCCAAGCCAAAGTGCGACAACCCAGCTGGTGCGCTTGAATCCTTGCCTATACAGTGATAGTAATTTGCCTTCGGAGAATTACATGATATGCACGAAGTTGCTCTTGAGTCTTGAGGCCTCGAAACGATTGTTTCCCGTTTTCCAAACTGCCACTTCTCCATGATTGAATCTGTCTCGTATAGAGTAATAGGTACCAAATGGTACCAACGATGGCTCACTCTGGTGGCCTGCAACTTCCAACGCCGTCGACGATGAGGCTAGCTACTCTAACGCGGGGCGGCGTAGCGCTGATGCTCTGGGGAAATGGTTGAAGTCATCTGCTACAGGCTTAGCCCATCTCAGCCCCCCCGTAACTAAGTTTCACTCATTCAGAAAAGTTAGTGTCAAGAGCAGGTGGATTCGACGCAAAATCTGAGTTATTTGTTGCAATCTCTGGAGGATACCACCCACTGAGTGACAATACGATTGCAATCGAGTGCATGAAGAAATGGTGTGAAACAAATACTATATTGAATGGTGTTCCTAGTAGCTTATTGTTTCTAATAGCACACATTGTTACTACTAGTAAGGCACTTGTTACTAGAAGCGATGCACTTGTTCCTAGTAGCTTATTGAATGGGCCAGTGAAGGGCGGCCCGTAACATCCTCCCATGCAACCGCGAGTCCACAGTGGCTTGAGCCATCAATGGGACCTCTGGGTCCAGGCCGTTGCGATCACTCATCCGCTTCAAGGGTTCTGTGAAACCTCAGAAAAAGGGCGCTACTAGGAGCAAGAAGCTACTAGAAGATCTGAGCTACTCTTGACACAACAGTTTTTGTAGGACATGCAACACTGAAACAACACATACAGCAAAGCTTCAAGTTCAGTCAGAGACTCAAGGACCCGTCACACTTCTTCGAGCTTAGAAGCAAGTATCTAGATCTGCCTGTAGCACCTGAGGTCGATTTTCGACGAAAATGGACTTTATGGGTGGCAAGTTACTTCGTGAAAGTTCACCTGGCTCAGAACAAAGCCAAGCATGATCAAAGCATGTCACACAAACCAATCAACCTCAACATGTCCACACCGGTTGCCTGTCATCCAGACTGAACAATGGCGGTCTGCCTATCCTAAGCCTTGTAGACCCATCCCAACATCGAACTCTTTCGGTGACCGTCGATCGCATGTAAAGATAACAATCAGAACAGAACGACATTGCTACTAGGAACAAGGGCATTACTACTAGCTAGAATCTACTAGTAACAGGGGCATTGCTACTAGGAACAAGTCGCTGAAAGACACTCCAGTCGGGAAGCTTTTCCAGCGCCTCAATGTCCGTGTTGGCGGTTGCTTCGCAGGCACGGCGATATGTGGCAGGTTCCATCTCAACGCCCAGAACACGGCACCTGGAAATTCAGAACGAGACTGGTTGGAGCGGGTTTTTCATGACAAAACTTTTCTGTTGGCAGCTAGGTACTGGTGTGCCTGAGGTATCTTCAGCTGGAAAAAGGTCCTCTTCTCAGTGCAATTGATGGATCCCATATCGTTTGTCCATGTTACCGTCTAGATACTCTAGAATCATAGAGAACATCTCTTGAAACAGCTGAGAGAGAGGGATAGGCCGAACAACAGCTGAAGTGAGAGCAAGAGGCTGAAAATGGCTCTTACATGCCCAACATCTTGATTCAGCAACCACGGTGAGCTATCCTGCGTCCTACCTAGAAGCTAGGTTACTTAGGGGGTTGGACCACGGCCTTCTAAGAAAGTGACTAGGAGGGAGGAAGCTACTAGGGGCTCCTGGCATCGCTACTAGGAGCAAGGACGCTACTAGGGGCTCCTGGCCGTACTACTAGGAGCAATGGTTGCTATTAGGAACAAGAAGCTATTAGCGGCTAGACTTCGTCATTTTTTCCGATATACTCATTCCATTTCTCGAGGTCGGTCCGTCCACCGTGCCCCCCCTTTCTTCGCAGGCGCTCCAAACATGCAGACCGCGCTGCCAGGAGAACCTCGCCATGTCCACAACCCAAATCCACAAAGACCTCGGTGCAACCCGATCCTCGCAGTGAAGATTGTCTTGCGAAAGAAAAAGAAAAAAGGTAGACACACACAAGCAAGATCACAAATAGTTACAGCGCTATTTGGAGAATTATATAGTTTGAATTAGTTTGATGTTATCACAAATTGAGGCCAAAGCATCGTTAGAGGTCATGGGAACGAGGCCACGCTCATCTTTGCCTTCACACGTAAAGCAAATTCATTGAAGATGCTCAAGCGATAGGGGGTCAAAAAATCCTAGCCAACACGGCGGACTCTCATGCCAATAGAACGTTTGGCAGTTTGTACTAAACGCAAAGCAGTTCTTATTGGATTTGTCACTTGCTAAACACTTTGTAAATGTCAGCTGGCTTCAGATCAAGACACTGAAGACAATCCCGAGCACATCAGACACGGGTGTCTCCCTGAAGCCAGCCTAAGTGGCAAATCTTACCAGCAGTGGCGGCAGTCCAGTCTATGTGATGGTCGCTGAAAAAAGCGATGTGGAGTGTAACTGGGTGATGGACAAAAGGTTTAAACACACCCTAGCCAGTCTGGATCATGTGCTTTATAGAAAGCGCTATTAGGTTGGAGGCCATCGCTATCAGCTACTTGCGAATAGGACGCTACTAGGGGCTCCTGGCATCGCTACTAGGAGCAAGGACGCTACTAGGAACAAGTGCATCGCTACTAGTAACAAGTGCCTTACTAGTAGTAACAAGGACGCTACTAGGGGCTCCTGGCATCGCTACTAGGAGCAAGGACGCTACTAGGTTTGCGCTTTTGCGACTTCTTCCGACTTGTGATCTCCCAGCCACATAGGTGACAGAGTCCTCTGAGTCCGCTGTGGAGAGGCGATGCACTGGACCGCCCAACCGCACCTGCTTGTGCACGTTGGCACTTGGCAAGCGGCATATAACGCTCAAAATTGAAAGAACACTACTCAGTACCACATGCCCTTTCCACTTCTATTATTCAAGAAAACGTTTGCATAATCATAGTTATTCAGATTTAGATAGATCTCGTATTTCTGACATTTTCTGACAAGCTCTCTGCTTCCACCATTTAGCTCTATCTCGTCTGTCCACCTTCACAGGCGGATGCCTCCCATGTGGAGAAGGCACAACGGTGCCCCGACCACGGCCACGAGGAGGCGGTGGCGGTGGCATGGCTCAAGGTTTGTGAAAATTCATGGAATCTGCGGGGCAAAGTCACTTGGAATTTTAAGTAGGAAGCGCCCTCAGGTGCACAGAATGGGCAGAACATTTGCAAAACAGTTTCTCCTTTCAACTCGACCACGACACAGGTGGCACCACGCTTTCACCTGTTTGTAGTGAACCAAGGACTGTCTTGCTTAGAAAGAGTCCAGAACAAATACTCGGGGACGTGCTGGTCCAAACATGTTGAACTGAGAAAATGCAGTTTGGAAGGGAATACTTCTAAGAGTCTCAAACCCAGATTTCTTGCATCCAAACGAGCCAAATTGTGATTCACTCAAATTCATGTTTCTTTGTGTAAGCCTTGAGTGCCGTTAGTTGATTGAGAGGTGAATGATAGTGAGAAAAAACGAGAGAAAACGAGAAGCGAGAGTCTTGTTCTCTTGGTCATCTTAGCTCCATGGGAGAACAATAAGTCAATGAACGACAAACATGCCACTGTTTTGGGGCTAGGGGATTGCACTGGCTGCCAAACATAAACAAACGCCATTTTCATGCTGCATCTGCACCACGGAAGCTTGGCTCGGATGGCCACCACGCATGAGCTGATCAGGAGCTTCTCAATTGATCAATGAGAACAGGAACATACAGGAACAAGAAAGCTCGAGAAAGCTACTTACTAGCGTTCTAATTGGACTTTGTTTGGCCTCGCTAGTAGGCTGGAGGCCATCGCTACTAGCTTGGAGGCCGTCGCTACTAGGGTGGAGGCCATCCCTGGTAGGGTGGAGGCCATCGCTACTAGGGTGGAGGCCATCGCTTTTAGGTTGGACCGGAGGCCATTGGACTTTGTTTGGCATCTAGGTACACCAATTGCCCCTTTATTCAGCAATTCACATCATGGGTACCACGCCCAGTTCCAACTGGCGTCTTATCGTAGCCAAGTCAAGGACAGCTCACCACAAGGAAGTCTAAAGGGTTGGGAATCGTTGTCACATCACACTAACAATAAAGGGGCGTGTCCCCCTTTTCTGGACACAGGTCCTTGGAAAGGCTCATTAACGATGGTGAGACAAATGGATTTCGGAGAAGCATTCATTTCACCAGACCTCGACATGAATTCACTGTGACAAGCGCTGATCAGTGCCTGATGTGCATGATGTCCTTTGCCAAAGACAACGTTCACCTGGACCATGGATATCCCCACGGTTTCTGTCGCTTTTGTCTCAGGGTCGGGCAGTCATCGGGTGACCATATTGTCCCGCAGCAACGGAGACCTTTTGACGGCTGCGCAATTGCTGTGGCCATCTTGGCACCCGCAACTGATACAAACCAGCGACTGCAAGAGGGCACAGTCTACCAGTGTTGGCTTGCGCACCTATTGGACTCTTGAAGGCTATAAGCCACTCACTAAGCCACTCCTCTTCTTTTGAAACATGGGTGCCCACATGTATGTATATAAATATTAACATATATATATATATGTGTGTGTGTTGAACCCGTGCACTCCCAGGCTTTTGCTTCATGAGTCTCCGGCACCATCTTCTTTTTGTGTCGCCACTTCAGCGACTTCTTCTTCCGCCCTCTGCCCTGCAAATATCTCAGACGTCATCTCCGCTTCCTCCAAACACCCTGGAAAAAAGGATCGCCAAATAGCTATACCGTTAGTTATACCGCATATTTCAGAAAGCTAGGACCCCTGGCTGTCATCTGGAAGACCCTTCAGGTGTCACTCTCTATTTCTGGGCATTCTTTTGATCAGAGCTATCATGAACTCGTTTGGTAACCTTCAATCTCGTTTTTTGCACCAGCATCGTTAAGTCATGCAACTGAGGGCCTCCAAAGCACTCTCAGCTTTGGATGGCCTCAGGAGAAAGTGCAGCACACTGCCGAAGCATCCACAACTAGTTCCATCAAGGGGTCAGGCGTCTAACATTCCAGACCAAATATCTTTCGGAAAAATGTATTTAAAAACACAATAATTTACGTAAAGTATCTTATATAATTTTGGGGTTGCCGTGTTGCTTATAAAGTAGCTTACTGCTTGCTCTTGTGAAACTTGGGAAAATGTCAGAATGCCAAGTCTAAGAAGAAAACCATTCAACGTATAGACATGCTCTATATAGTCTTGCTAATTGAGTATGCCGCGTGATTTGTACAGCCAGTGATTGACCAGGGCAGGGGTGAGTAGTACAGTACGGTCTTCCTCATCCTGCAGTGGCCATGGATTTGAATCAGCTTGCACCTGACTATGGCAGGAAAAACAATAAATTTGACTGGTGCTGTTTGCGGCCTATCAGTTCAAGCGTTCAATGTGTGCAGTCAATGCTGAACATATGCCTGCCACATGTCTTCTGTGCATTTTGCTGAGATCCTAACAGGAGGCCTCTGCGCAGAATGGACGACAGTCGATCTCGGACCGCGCTGGCCTCACGACTTTCGGGCAAGCCATGTATCCGATTTGCTAACAACGTGCATCACTACTAGTAGCAAGGACGCTACTAGGAACAAGTGCATCGCTACTAGGAACAAGTGCATCACTACTAGTAGCAAGGGCATTACCACTAGTAGCTTCTTCTAGCTGGTAACAAGTGCATCGCGCTGACCGCCCTTCCTGCCTTGATCGGGATCTGTCTCAGGCTGCCGGTATGATCTTCATCCGGCACGGCTAACTCCTGGACCCCAATCCGGCACGGATGCCGGATCAGCTGGCTAACTCGTAAAGGCAGGCTTCGTATGAGCAAAGACGCTACTAGGGGATCCTGGCCTTACTACTAGGAGCAATGTTCGCTACTAGGAGCAAGGACGCTATTAGGTTAGAGCCGCTCATTGCAAGGAGACAAACAAACTTCATTTGAGTCGAGGGCAACAGCAAAGCTCGAGCTTTGCAAGCGGCTAAACGCATTCACCAAGCTGTTGCCGCAACATCTTTGTTCAATCGGGCAATAGACAGAATTGAACTCCCTAGTAGCTTCCTTTCTTAGTAAGGCCAGGAGCCCCTAGTAGCTTCTTGCTACTAGTAGTAAGAATGCCCCTAGTAGCGATGCCAGGAGCCCCTAGTAGCGTCCTTGCTCCTAGTAGCGATGCCAGGAGCCCCTTCGCATAGGGCACGAAGTCGTCAATCTAATTTGTGGAAACATCGGCTGTCCTCCTCAGGAGCTTTGCCGCGACCCAACCTCTCCGCTAAGCCGAGCAAGAGTATGAGTGACGGTGGGAAATTGCTGCGATTTTGTACTTGATGTGGCAAATTGCCTTCTACAAAGAAAAGCTGACCTACCATATTGAAACCTTTACAATTTTGAATAACCTTAAAGGCTCGACAAATTTTAAGTACTCCCATAGCTATCTCTGTTCAAGCAAACATATGCAAACATATGCAAACCATGTCTTTCTCGACAAACACATTCCAAAAATCACCATTTTCCACTAAAATCGACATTTTACCAAACCTGCTAGCGATGCACTTGTTACTACGAGCGTTTCGCCTTGTGGTGGGGTCCATGATGCCGTTCTGGACTTCGAGGTCCTTACGCTGCTGGCGCATCGCCTGGCGATACCTTGGACGGGCGCAACGCCCTCAAGACGGGTCCAAGCGCAGGCTGTCCGTATCGATCAAACCCTTAGTAGCGTCCGATCACTCCTAGTAGCGATGCCAGGGGCCCCTACTAGCGTCCTTGCTCCTAGTAAACTGTTAGAATATCCGCGCTAAAATGTAGCTACCTTTGGTCCCGCAAGTCCCCTAGGCTCTTTACGCTTTGCGCTCATTCTGCAAGTGCTCTTCTTCTTTGAGGTCCTTCCTGAAAATCAACCAGCTTGTTGCAAAGAGCTGGCCGATTCATCAAAGTAGATACTCTGGCATATTGATTAATCTGGCTTTCTTTCTGATACATATTAAAACAGTTGAACTTCTAAAGCAGGGAACTGCTCGTTTGTGTGCTACACGTGAAGTCTTAAGGGTGTTGGATCCTTATATAGCAAGTATATTCATTGCATATCATGATAGGACTATATAGATTATATAATATGTGCTACTTCATCACTTAAGTTCTTACCCTTGACTACCTATACCTTGAACACTATCCATTAGAATGCGTATGATTACAACAAGTTTAAGTCTATTGCAGTCTTGTACAGTCCAAAGGTCCAAGTTTAGGTTGGAGGCCAGCACAAGTATGTAGATCGGCCATCGCTTTTAAACGCGACGTTCCGCTGCTCCACCCTGAGTTTCCAAGCAAAATGAAGCTCACTTCACCCACGGACTTCTCCAGACGCCGCTGAGCTTTCAGCTGTGCCTGGATCGAATCCAGAAAATGCATTCTTTTGAACAAGGCGGATTAAGAGCTTTAAGAACATCTTATTGCAAACGGCATTTTGCCAGAAGAATCTCTAATGATCAGTATGTAAATCTACGTAACCCAAACTGCCAACACAACACGACATGGAGAAAGGGACATAATGTCCTTGCATCCAATTCCTTCTGGGAACTCTGCGCCCCTGATGAAGCACCTCTGATAGATGCGATTGTTTGTCCTCATTTGGATTCAGGGCTTAAGGGCTTAGAGAATGAAGTCCAAAGCTCCCCACATCAAATCAGCTTTTTCCACCACAAGAAACTACACAAGACAAGCGTTCACATTATGATTTCTGAGGTTCACGGCAATGGTATTATTCCATCATCGTTTTCCTTGGGGTATCCTGATGTGTCCTTGCCTTGTACAAAAAGAACGTATAATTCAAAATGCATCAAAATCAATACATACTTGTAGCCCTTTTGCCTGCTCATGATTGTTGATATTGTTGGTTTATCTCTCGAGCTATTGCTTTGACGATCGTTGCTTGATTTAAACGACTGTTGCAACTTGAACGGGCTCACTTGCGTGTTGCCCTCACCCGCCTGCTTATGGTCCATGAACTTTCTTTTTCGCTCTTTGTTTTTCTGCGACTGCCTAGGGTGAATGGATACGACTGAAACAAGCAAAATCCAGCTAGGAGCAAAGGGCATCGCTACTAGGAGCAAGGACGCTACTAGGGGCTGCTGGCCTTACTACTAGGAACAAAAAGCTACTAGTAGCAAGAAGCTACTAGTTACTAGTAGAAAAATACGGCAGGGATCCTTCAGGACCTCAAGGAACCTTGGCACAAGACAACTGTCTCAGAGATGGCCTCGACCCTAAGAGCGATGGCCTCCAACCAACTAGTTCATTGTATTGAATCCGTCTTGGAGAACATTTTTGAGATTGTGGCCACCACACTTACATCGCTAGGCTCCTCTAGATTTGCTCGTCCATACAGCAAAACGTTTACAAATCAATTGCATTGACATACTGATGCTGTACTGGTTGACAGGTAATTACTCTCAAGAATTTCGTGCCCAGACACGATTTCCTCTTGAATTTCGCTATTCGCTTCTCATAGGCCTCCAATAAGCAGTCCAACTCGGCAACTGGAACATGGTACGCAAACAGTTGTTTGGATATATATATATATACACCAGATTATATACCACGCGCAAGTGCTTCAAGTTTGGCAATTCGCCTCCTCAGTCTCTCCCTCCTCTTGCTTGGGAGCATCGGCACAAAAAAGCTTTCTGTACCTGCAAACGAGGAACCTGTTAAGTCTATAAACTCCAAGTGCATCGCTACTAGAAACAAGTGCCTTACTAGTAGTAACAGGTGCCTTACTAGTAGTAACAAGAAGCTCTTAAAATAAATTAACTGACTTGAGGCTAAACCTGACGATGGAACTCTCACTCAAGTGGCACAGGTCACGTCTCGATTCGCGTGGGTTCGTCCATGGCATTCACGGCATCATCCTAGGAATGGCAGCCGTTCGCAAGCAAGATGAAGGACCGCCAGTGAACCGATGCCACACATGTCGCAATGGGGGCAGCTTCAGATCAACATATTTATGAAAAAGGAAAGCAAGATAAAGCAACTAGGAGCACAGGGCATCGCCACTAGGAGCAAGGGCGCTACGAACGGGGCACTCCTGGCCTTACTACTAGTAACAAGAAGCTACTAGTAGCAAGAAGCTACTTGTAACAAGAAGCTACTAGGGGTTCCAGGCCTTACCACTAGGAGCAAGGACGCTACTAAGGGCTCCTGGCATCGCTATACTAGTAGCGGTGGAGGCAAAACAAGCCTCGGTATCTCTTCGCCGAGGTGCGCCCAAAGCATCTTTGAGCTCTGCAGTGATCGGGCGCTGCGTGCGGTACAACAACTTGGCCTGAAAATGAGCTGAAACTGTTTCAATGTGCCGTATCGATACTGCCAAGATACCATTTCCAAATATTCCAACACATTGTTTTAAATTGAGTACACTCCTGGTATCCCAAAGCACTGATTATCTGGCACCATGCTGCGCGTGCTGCGCCTCCTGCTCTTTTTCCAGCTCTTTGGCTGCTGCCATGCAGGCCTCCAACAACTGATTCACACACTGACTCTATCTGCACACTTCTGAACAACACAAAAGAACAAAGGAATCCTTCGGTCGGTTCGTATAATGTTTTTGGATATTGAAGTGAACATAGATGATCTGCGAGATCTATTTTGGGAACTCCGCGATAGATACAATGGTTTTGGATCGTTCGTAGCGGAGTATCCAGCGCAATGAAGAGTTTCCTTCTGGTTTGGCGGCTGAGCTGGGCTGAGCTGGGCTGAGCTTCCGACCAGGTCTTCATATGCGTCGTTGTGGGGATTCACCGATTGGCCCTGCACACTTCCAGTGGATGTCCAAGTTTTCCACGGCTAATCCTGCTGTGATGTGGTTTGTGTTTCATTCTTGATGCGTTAAATGCCTTGAATCCTCGCACATGCTATTCCCTGGAATTCCTTGAACGACTGCTTCTTCGACAATTTGGCCTCATGTGCCGGAAGCACTGCTGGGGCAGAGCTGACCTGACAAAGTCAATGCCACCCGTTTCAATGCCAAATGCATCTAAATGCTGGTTTCGAAATTTTCAAGCACTCTTGTAGCTGAAACTCTGATCAGACCACACCTGCTGGTGCAACGTTTTGGGCGTGTGGACTGGCATAGGCTTTGGCTGCTTTCGGATTCGAAAGCCACCCAACTGGCCGAGAGAAGCTCAGAATTCAGAACACGTAACATGCCGGTAATAACTGTAAACTAATGGCGGGCCAATAACACGTAACGCCCATAAATTGAAGCTAATTCAGATGTCATTTAACACTCTTCGGCAGCAAAAGTAGAGCGGGGTAGTGCCACCAGTTACTGATGCGACGCTCGTGCGCGCAGACCCGGACGAGGTCAGCGTTCCACGGCACCTTGAGGTCGCACCCGCGACTTGCCCACACCGTGAAGGGTTTCACCGTGCACGCGAAACAGTCATCTCCCTAACCGATCAGGTTGGTTGGTCCACGTGGAGGTCGAGAAGCCGCAACTCACATGCAAAATCTCAAACATTTTAGTATGTCTTTGAAGCTTTCTAGTAACTAGAAGCTACTAGGAACAAGGGCATTCCTACTAGGAGCAAGGACGCTACTAGTAGCTCCTGGCATTACTAGGAACAAGAAGCCGACTAGAAATGGACGTGCAAAATCGGAGCGCTGAAATAGCTTGCTCAGAATAAATTGAAGCGCGTCCCCTCGGTATACGAAGTGCTGGCTGGAGCAACTTGGCCACGGCTCGCGCCCGCAGATTCGGTATATGTTGCTTTCATGTTGCTTCTATCACTCCTATCCTGGACATGTCTACGTTGGTTAAGGTCACGACAAAGTCCTAGACTAGACCCCTTTACAAATTCATAATTACACACATCACATACGCACACCTTCTAAGCTTTGGCTGCATCCCTATTGCTGCTGGCGCTTGTTGTCTTGCTTCAGCTACCATACCCTTTGTATAATGCCAATGCCAAACACTTTGGGAGCTGGCTTTGTCTTGGATTTGCCACTCCGCAAAAGTTGTCGACCTTTATATCGCCGGCTGATTTCCAGAAGCTCGACAAGTTCTTCAGATTGCCACGGGCGGCGCTCTGCCTGCTGATTTCCAAGCTCTTTGTCGTATAGGTTCTGGTTTGTCAGAGTGCTTCCGCACATACCCAGGATCGGTTCCCATTCCTTTAAAAAAATCTGGCCTCTTTCTCGCACAATGTGTCCCAACCCATCGAGCTGCTAAGTCTACCACATGGAAATGGTAGATGCAATGAACCTACTAGCGATGGCCTCCAATCTAATCGCAAACTATATAGCATTCAAAAGGTGACTCTTTTTTTTACCAGAAGATGTGAAACATGTGCAAACGCACGTTTCCCACCTCCTCGTCGTCCTTCTCTGCCTTCCACTGCTCTGCCTGCAGCAACCATTCCTACAACCAATCAATATGGGCCTTTGATTTTTTGCATAGAAGAAACAAAGAAAACCTCCAAAGCAAACTTTACTCTATTCAAGGACGCAAAATGCCGGTCTGGACTTGAACCATCTTGAACCAATGTCTGTCTGGTCTGGTTTCTAGTTGCAGTCAATTACCTCTTTTGTCCAGCTGCCGATTGTCTTCACAGTAGAAGATCAATCACCAAGAAATGATCCACAATCGAAGCCAGCCGGTCCCTTTAAAACTCATTGCAAACAAACAGCGAGTATCAAGAAAACAAACAGGATGCCAAACATCCATTTCTTTGGGTTCCAGGGAATATGCACCATGCTACCATCAAGACCTTCCTGTCGGTTTGAGTAACACCAAGTGAACACACTTGGTTCAATCCTTTGGTAGAGCGGAGGTATCCACGTCCAACCAGCAAACGAGCTAGGCACCTTGGTCGGCATGGACCAAAGATCAAAGACCTCACGCACAAGGCCGACAGCACAAGAGTCAACGATGGCCTTGTCGCATGTCTTCACAAGGCTTCAAATGACACGTCCTTGAGAACAAGTATAAACAAGCTACAAGAAAGCTTTGGAGGTCATCACTATTATTAATTAGGTTGGAGGCCATCGCTAGGGAGGCCATCCCTAGGTTGGATGATGTGGCGACCTCTGTCGACCAACACGTCCAATTCGACCAAGGCCTCTGGGCCCTTTTTGGGCTCCTCTCGCCTCGGCTATGCCGAACTCTACTTGTTGGACGGACGCTGCTGGATGCTGCTGGATGGTCCCCAAAGCGCTGCATGGAAGGCTACAAGTCCAAGCAAGGAGCACATGCAAAAGAGAGGATTAAACAGCCAAACTGGAACATGCTGTTGTTTTTGTGTACATATTGATCTATTATGACTAGTTTCCGTTCAACTTTCGACTTGTCCTTTCTTTTATCCTTGAAAACGGACTCTTGTCGCTGTCTTTCGCCTGTTGGCCAACCTCTGGAGGGTTCGCTCCACCTTGGCCTGGGACACATACACCGCTCAATGGTTGTCGACCGTCTTCGACTGTCAACCCGAATATCTTGCGATTCAGCGATGAATTCCGGTACTCTTCCTTCAAGTCTGCCGGACTTGTAAGCTGCACAGGCAAAGCGAAAGTCAACCCTCTAACTTGTCAAGAAATTGCCATGGTGAGCAGCTGCGTGCACACGTTCATGCAAACAATCTGTGATCGGATTCTCGACTTCGCTCTGATTCGAAGCCACATCCGCCGCCTCCTCGGAGCCAGTGAGGCCCAGCTTGGGAGGTTTCTCTGGGAAGATCTTCCGACGTGCCAACTCCCTGCGAGACCTGTGAGGAGCGAAGCCGGAAGTGCCGAGCCCAGGGTTGGTGCAAACCATCTAGCACTAGGAACAAGTGCATCGCTTCTAGTAACAAGTGCCTTACTAGTAACAATGTTTGCTATTAGAAACAATAGTGAATCGCAAACCATCTTGGAGATTATGCGACATTCACGAATGAGCTCAGTCCAAGGCAAGGTTGGATGGAAGAAATGGGGAATGGATGGAAACATGTGATACGGGGAAATGGCATTATTTTTTGCCTCACAAGGGACGATGCAAATGAAAAGAGGATTATCAGGTTCTTGGGCAGTTCAGCGCTGAGGAAAACGAATGGAATTATGTTCGAATTCCGCACCCTCATGTTGCTTGACGATGTGTCACTGGTACCTTGCTAGTAAGCTACTACCTACTGGACGCAGGATAGCTCACACTTCTTTTTAGCCTCGGTTCACAAACCTTACTCCCGTCAACCCTGAGACTTCGACGCTTGAGAGACCCCTTCAAAGGACCTCAGAACGAGGTCTCACTGAGCACTTCTCCTCTCTTCTCCTCTCCAAGGAAAACATGGAAAAAGAGATACGCAAGGGACAATAAGGGTCCCTATGACATCCTATTGGTCTCTTTAATATGGCCTCCCAATCGTCCCAATCTTCTGCTTTCTAGTAACTAGAAGATTCCTTGGGAATCGTTTCACTGGGAATCGTTTCACCTGTAGTAAAAAGAAGCTAATTGAAGCTTATATATATATTATAGTAATAAAGCTTTCTTCGTGACTAGAAGCTACTAGGTGGAGGCCATCGCTATTAGGTTGGAGGCCATCTCTGTGTACCTTTCAGCTTCTCTGAGGCTTTGACCCCTTGGTATCCACGGTAAACAAGGCCTCCAAGTCTTCCTGCTCTGTCGTCGAGCCTTTCAAAGCCTGGCGATTTGAGGCGAAGCAGAACATGTGGAAAGGGCGCTTGAGAAGCGAATGTCACTCAGGAAAGTCGAACACATTGAACAGAACGGGCTGAAACGGGCTGAGGAGATGGAAAAAGGAGATGGGACTCTGCGAAGACTTGCTGTCTCTGCCTCCTTGTGAGTCTAACCATCCATTTTTTTTGTCGCGCAGTTCTTGCTGCCTTCGTTACTCTTTTGTCGGTACATTGGAGCTCAAGGAAGCCACTTGGAAAAGAAACATATGTCGATTGAAACATATCGAAAAACATATTTTACACCAATGTTTGTTTAGAATCGCTTCCACGGCCGAAAGCGGCCGTTCCGTCCCAAGACCTGCAGTTTTGCGGCTCTTGGGATCTCCGTCCACTCCATCTACGCTTTGCATCGCCACTTGAATGAGTGACATGCAGGTGAAACCCCAAAAAACGTAGTTCAGTGCTTGGGAACATTCCTCGTTCAAAAAGAACGCATTGAACTTGAAGTGGTCCAATGATGTTCGCAAGATCCATGTGTCCATTGATGCATCTAGAGCTGAGTTTTTTTTTGGTGGCTTAAGGAAGATGCGCTCCACTTCGAACCAAATGTGCACCCAAAATGATGGTTTTGGTCGGAAAGAACATGCCTATGTTCAAACACAACCGCCTGTCTCAGCCAACAGTATCTCTTATAATATATAATAGTCGGCTCGGACTTGTACAAAACCCTATCTCTACAACTGTGTTCCCGTAAACCCAAGCACTCACAACCTACAGCAAAAATCCAACGAGACTTTGGAACTTAGGATTGCAATGTATATTTTGTCTAATACTGGCGCCCCTGACAGGCAACCCAGGCAAAAAAAGTGTAGTCACTTCCGGATTTTACAATCCCGGAGGGCAGAAGCTCGTGCGGCAATCTGTTGTGGCTCAATTTGCACCTGCAGCAACGAAGTTGAGCTGACAGAACAGAGGGAGCTACACTGTCTTAAATTGTGGCAGGGAATGTGCGAGCATGTCTAACAGTATCTCCAAGCCAGATTTGCGCACGACTCACAAAAATTTGCCCGACAAGTTCCATCAGACTTGAGATTTGCAATTGTTTGATTCATTTGGATTCGATCCTGTATTAGGTTGAGGCCATTGCTAGTAGGTTGGAGGCCATTGCTAGTAGGTTGGAGGCCATCGCTAGTAGGTTGGAGCCCATCGCTAGTAGGTTGGAGGCCATTGCTAGTAGGTTGGAGGCCATTGCTAGTAGGTTGGAGGCCATTGCTAGTAGGTTGGAGGCCATTGCTAGTAGGTTGGAGGCCATTGCTAGTAGGTTGGAGGGCATTGCTAGTAGGTTGGAGGCCATTGCTAGTAGGTTAGAGGCCATTGCTAGTAGGTTGGAGGCCATGGCTAGTAGGTTGGAGGGCATTGGAGGGCATTGCTAGTAGGTTGGAGGGCATTGCTAGTAGGTTGGAGGCCATTGCTAGTACGTTGGAGGCCATGGCTAGTAGGTTGGAGGCCATGGCTAGTAGGTTGGAGGCCATTGCTAGTAGGTTGGAGGCCATTGCTAGTAGGTTGGAGGCCATTGATAGTAGGTTGGAGGTCATTGCCAGTAGGTTGGAGGCCATTGCTAGTAGGTTGGAGGCCATTGCTAGTAGGTTGGAGGGCATGTTGGAGGTCATTGCTAGTAGGT